AAATTAATTAGAATCGAACATCTTAACTACATAATAATATAATAATTACAAATGTAATGTCAAAATTTTAAGCTATTGAACTTGAATCTTAACGAATAGAACTCAAGTTTAAGTATATCCTATTAATAATCATAGTTCAGTAGACCTTGACTTTTACCGATGATATTGCTAATTCTTTCAGTTCGTTGTCCGCCTAAATATGCGGTGTATAAACTATAAAACCATTCTAAATTAAAACAGATTTTTAATTTTTAATCGTACATCTTGATTATGTTTAATAAAATATTTAAGATTTTTATGTCCAATTATATTTACTAGTACCATTCCAGACAATTCTATTCAACTTATTTAGGATTTGAAAAAGTAAAGTGAATGCAAATTAAAAGAAAAGCCAAAATCAGCTAAGTGGCAAGAATCAATATCACTCATCTATTTATTCGTAAAAAATTATAAAAATCAAAAATAAAATTTATTTCCCATGGATAACAATTTTGTATTTAACATCACAGAACAAATTGCTATCTTTGAAATTGAGTGATTTAAATAATCGAGGATTTTCAGAGATATTAGTTTCTTTTTTAAATGAATATGTGATCCAACCTTTTTGTGCCAGAATGTATTACGTTATCTCACTGTATATTCAGCGTCTACATATTACTGAGTACTGAGTAAAAAAATTTTCGCCTCTACGTAATTCAACACGAATCGCGTCATGAATCAATGATTTAGTCGCATAAAAAATAATAAAAATAAGATTTTATATATGCCACGAGACGGATTTCGGACTGAGATAAGTGAGCATGAGATACAGAATGTTCCACCAAGAATACCCACGGTAAAATTTATGACGATTCGATGATAATTTAAATGTACACTTGAGAGAGAACTCCCAATAGTTTCGACCAAACGTGTAAACATCGGATTAAGGTTTAGTTTAATAATGTGGCTTCTATACTTTACACCTGTTTACTTTACAACCTGCGTTCGTTGCGATATCTATATAAATACATGTTATAATGCAGGTATATATCGAGCATCCGGATCCAGCTTCTTATCAATACGCTGCAAGAAACAACTGAAGGACAATTATTTCAAAGAACACGATGAAAAAGACGACAATCTTTACTGTTCTAATCGCCATCATGATAGGCCTATTACAACTGTACCTACCAAACAAGTATAGCTATCTTTACGGCAATGATACAGGAGGCTCAAGATTAATGAATGTGCTAAGGCTGGGTAAGGGGATCCTAGATTTCTGGAAAGAGAGTCGACGTTATATAGCCGAACAGGTACCGGACACGACACCGGAATTTGGAGACACATTTGATTTTATAGTGATCGGCGCTGGTACGGCTGGTGCGACTATAGCCGCGAGGTTAAGCGAAATTTCTCAGATTAAGGTGTTACTAATCGAAGATGGACCCCATGAAAGTCTATACATGGATGTACCGTTAATTGCTGGCATACTGCAAACAACCAATATCAACCGAAAACATCAGACCAAGCCATCCGATAAGTACTGTCTAGGCATGGAAGGAAACAGTTGTGTTTTTCCAACAGGAAAAGTAGTTGGCGGCAGTAGCGTACTAAATTATATGATAGCAAGCAGAGGCGGCGCCGAAGATTACGATCGCTGGGCCGAGATGGGAAACAAAGGCTGGGCATATCAGGACGTTCTCAAGTATTTCAAAAAGCTGGAAACAATGGAAATCCCGGAGCTGAAATCGGATAATGACTACCATGGTACTAATGGACCAGTACATATCGCATACCCGCCATTTC